CTTTATTGGCCAAGTGTGATGGGACACACAAGGAATTTGTCTTTGGTGCAAATGCTCTCAGTGTACATAAAAAGACAAGATATCTATCATCAAGAATCATAAGGTACAACATTTAATGATAGTCATAGGGTACAAATAAGCAATCAAATTATACTAGGAAATAATCAATATAAATTGTAAGGATACAACAAAGTTACAGTCATACAATCGTCAAGTGGGAGGAGATGGGTGATAGGAACAATGAGAAGATTAATAGTAATAGTAATGCAGACAGTAAATAGTTTGACAACGTTGAGGGGATTATTTGTTTAGCAGAGTGAAGTTATATGCTGCCCATCTCCTGATAAGGATTTTACAAATGCTAAAGAATGTTGCGGAGAAGCTGCAGAAACGACAAGGACCCAGGGAGTCTCTTCAGGCATTGTAGTTGACAGGTGCCCGACATCCCCAACTGCAGCTGCACTTCCAGGCATGCTAAACATGGTTAGTTTTCATCTTTATGATTCAAGTATGGTTTGTATCTAAAGAGCTATTTCTGCAATTTGGCTGTTTGGACAGCCAATGTGTATTGCAAATGGGATTCTCAGAACCTGCTGTGCAGTATTACTGTAGGAAGAACATTTTAGAAATCTCAGTTTGTGTTTTCTTTAGGAAAATCAGTTGAAATGGTGGTGCTACACCCTGGCCAAATTCCAGGAATTCATGAGATTCTGTAGGACTTTTTATTGGAATTCAAGACTCGGGGAGGCTGATAAATAAAAGTAAAGATACAAACACAGCGTTATCAGCTAGGCTGAAGCTCTAATTTCCACAAATTGTGGGGTTTTTTTTAAAATAAACCAGTCACGGCTATGCTGTCCAAGGATTGTTAAGAACTGTGCAAGCCTCAACTTGGGAACCTATATTCAAAAATACATGCAGAGAGTTTTGCTTGATGTAGCCTACAGCCGTGGAAAGGGAAATGATCCAGAGAGAAAGCTGAAAAACCCTCTCCAACCAACTTCTCCCATTCTTCTTGTTTTTCCTTGTTTCTTGTTTTTCAAACAGTAACTGGGAGAGGGACCTTAGATTCCTAGTGGACGATCATTCGAATATGAGCCAGCCATGTGCGGCAGCAGCCAAAAAAGCTAATTCAATCCTAGGTTGCATAAATAGAGGCATAGAATCAAGATCATGTGACGTATTAATGTCACTTTATAAAACCCTAGTAAGGNGGTAATCGTGGGAGTTGAAGTCCAGACATCTTCAAGTTGCCAAGGTTGAAAAACACTGTTCTAAAGGGCTGGCAAGCCTCTTCCGCCTCATTGGCAGGAAAGGTGGACATGTCCATGAAGTCACCAGCTTGGAAAAGGAAGTTTCTCACCTTGGACGCATTGGCCCAGCCTTCTTCCCACTTTTACCCGGGGGAGGAGGAGCGATGATCGGGAAATCTTAGCTTTGGTACAGGAGAGGAAAGAAAGTCGAACTAAATCATCGAACACAAAAAGCTTTGGCCGAAAATCTGGAATATGATTTTGGGAGGACACCAGGAGGGGGTGACTCAGGATAACCACAGCGCCCAGGATAATAAGCTCAGTAAGGAGGGTGGGGTGGGGGTGGGGAGACAGGCCCATATCCTATTTCTTATTCTGCAGAAAACAAAATGCAGGAGCTTTCAGCAGGGAACATGCCAAACGTGAGTGGGGAGAGACAAATAATTGTAACATTAAAATAAAATGGGTGGTTTTCTTAAAGAAATTGGGAAAGACACAGAAGTTACAAGGGCAATGTTGTTTTCCAAAAATCCAGCTGGAAAGGTCTTTTCCCCTCTTTTTTTGGTGCCTCAAGCTGAACAATTTGTTGACTTCATTAGAAGCAAATTAAAATGCTTATCAAATCAGAATTGGGTCCTAAGCAACATTTCAGCTGCTCTCTCTTCCACACAGGCCCTTACAACCTCAAACTACCTATTCACACATGCATTCGTATATGTACTCCTGAGCCAGCTTTCAAGGCGGAAAGCTAGCTTATGGGAAGACCAGATTGTTGGAGGCAAGAGGCTGACTCCGCTTAGAGAGGGCTGTAAAAATACTGTGAAGCGGTATACAAGTCTAGGTGCTATTGCGATTATGAACTTTAAATAGCCACGCTTGGCAAAACAGAGAAAACAACTGCAGAAAAAGAAGCAAAGCAAAGAGCAGTTAACATGATTTAAAATAAATTACAGAAGCCTACAAAAAACTGACTTTTGAACAGTAAAACTTTGCAAAAGTTGATTTATCCTCTATCCTCCCAGACTGGCATCTTCTGAAACAGTTAACAATAGGACACCTATGAATCCCAGGCCAATCCCAGGCCATGGAGGAAGAGATCCACACCTGGAATATCTCCCCCCACCAAAAAAAAGGAGGGGCAGGACAAGACAGTTTGTATAAGCCTGTGATCAGCAAATAAGCTATCCTACAAAACCCCCTTTCTCAGCAGCCAGTCACAAATACACATAAAACTTTATCCAGGACAAGTAAGGATAAACTTAAATACCCTGAATAATATAAACTGACTTTACCAACCAGCTAAGTTCCCTTCAAGACCACGAGACTTACTTCAGGCTTAGACTGCAACCAAAGGCATTTTGGATTGCACATAAACTCCAGCAAAACTTTAGGTTCAGCAGGGGAAGCCGCAAACAACAGACAGGAAAATAAAGGTTTAAAACAGAATATTTTCATTTTATTTAGGGATTTAAAACCAGAATTTCTAAAACGGTCTTGCATCTTTGTTTAATCCCCCCAAATACACCATACAAGGAGAGAGTTCCTGGGTATTAATTCTTAGGAAGAGGGAGGCAATGTTGGCACTCGGTACAATGAATATTAAAAATTGGCACTTAGGTGAAGATGTCCATCCGTTGCATGAAAGTGCTGACTGGGACTTGGAGTCCAAAGTAGTGGCTGTGAACTGTGACCCCAAAAAGGAGCTCAGCATTCTCCCCAAAATAACCGGGCACATACACATGCCTGAAACCCTTCAAGGGCCCACCCTACCCAGGTGAAGCTCAGTTAAAAGTTCTGCACCGATTCCAAGCCAGGTCTCCAAAGTCAAGGAAACCGGTTGTACAACAAGAGAAAAAGTTTTGCAAAGTTTTTCCTATGGCTAGAGAGAGTTCTGTGCCCAGCGTTAGTCCCGGCTGGTGAGATGGCAAGGCTCCGAGCAATAAAATAATAATAATAACGAGGACGACGACAACTACGGGAGACGGCTTTCACAGTACAAGGCGGGCGGGCGGGCGGCGGAAGGAGAGGACCGGGCCTAAATCCAGAGCGGAGAAGCGGAGGGTTCAGTTCGGCCCCGGCTCTTTCCCGGCAAGGGTTCAATTTGCCAAACGCCGCGGATCCGTACTTCCCACGGCCCCAATTTTCTGTCCGCGGCCGGCCGGAGGAGGCAGAGTTCGGCAAGGCAGCCAGGCGAGGTTTCGGAGTGCAGCGGCCGCTCCCGACGGCTTCGCCCGCGCGGATCCCGATCCTCTGCCCCGCGACGCCCCTGCGGTGCGCTCAGGAGCAGCTGCCCATGGCCTTGACCAGCGAGCTCTCGGGCAGCTGCCGGAAGATGCCGCGGAGGGTCTCCAGCTCGCGGCTGAGCTGCTCGACGCGCTTGCGGAGCCGCTCGTTGTCGTTGCTCAGCTCCAGCACCTTCTGCTGCGTCTCGGCGTTGCGCTGCTTGGCTTTGTCGCGGCTCTTACGCACCGCGATATTGTTGCGCTCCCGCCGCACCCGGTACTCGCTGCTGCCCTTGTCCAGCGACTTTTTGGACTTGCCCGACGAGGCGGCAGCGTTGGGCCCGGCGTGGAGGCGGTGGGGCGGGTGGGCCCCGTGCGGGCTGGGCGCGGGCGTGGGCGGCGGGGTGGGCTGCCCGCCGGGCTGCAGGTGCACCGTAGTCTGGGCGCAGTGCGCCGCCTGGTACTGGAGGTGGCTGCAGGGCGGTCCGGCGGGCGGCGGCGGGTAGAGCGCGGCCAGCGCGCCCGCCTCCTCCTCTTCGTGGGGCTCCTGCTTGATGAGCAGCGGGCGCAAGCCTGGCAGCAGCGGGGGGCCCTGGCCCAGGCGCTCGTAGGCGGCGTTGCCCTCCAGCTTGTCGGCGTAGCAGTAGAGCGCGCCCCCGCCCGGCGGGAACCCGGCGCCCGGCATGCCGGCCCCGCCGCACTCCAGCCCGGCCTTGGCGGCGCGCTCCTGCTGCTGCTGCTGCTGCTTGCTGTGCTGGAAGAGGTCGGCCAGGAACTCGTCGTTGAAGGCGCCCGGGTCGATGTAGGCGCTCAGGTCGATGGAGTTCTCGTGCTCGCAGATCTCGGGCAGCTCCGACGCCGCCAGGTAGCCGAAAGGGCCGGCCGGCGGGGCGAAGCCAAGCGCGGCGGAGGGCAGGTGCGCGGCGGCGGGGAGCGGCGGGCGCTGCTGCTGCGGGTGCGAGTGGAAAACGCTGGGCATCGGGGGCCGCGAGTCCGCCTCGTAGAAGTTGCCCGGCTCCATCGATTAGCTAAAGCGTACTGTGGCACATGGTTGGGAGTCTGGCAGGTATCCAGTGGTGGTGGCACTCAAGGTCGGGATGGGTTGGCTGATCTGATTGAGTCATCCTGGGCCGGCTATTTATACCTGCGCCCCCTAGCGTCCGCCTCTTCCCTGGCCCCGACGGTTCCTCCCCGTCCCACCTCCGGCGCCGCCTCCGGCTGCCTGGACGGGCCCCGGGAGGGGGCCGTCCCTGCGCTGTTTGCAGTGGCGCCGAGAAAGCCTACAGGAGCCCTGGCTCCCGCGTGCAAGTCGGGATCTCCCCGCTCCCTCGGCTGGGACCCGGTGGGCGCCCACCGCACCAACGGAGCTCCTCGGCCCGCTCTTCGGAAAGCCAGGCGAGGCACGAAGCCGCTCCGGCCCTCCGCCGCGCCACGATGGGAAAACGCGGCCCCGCAACCTCCGGACTGGACGCCCCAAGTGAGCCTGGCGGGCGTCGTTGAAGCTTCCTGCCCCGACCCCCGGCCGGCCCATCCCCAGAACGCGGCTCCCTTCTCAGCCACCTCCCCCCCCCCCAGTGCTTTCCCTGCCAATAGCGGGGTGGGGAGGGGGCGTGTATTGGCACGAACTTCGCTTCTCAGCGCCTAGATCCTCTTCCAGTTGGAGATCAGCCAAAAGCACCTTTTCCCTTCGAAGTGACCTGGCAGATTAAGGCTGTCCAAAAGGCGTTGACACCTGGAAGCAGAGATAAGGACCTTGGCAAAGGGTTCCCGGGAGTCCAAGGTACCTTTGAGCAGAGCCCGAAGGAGGCGCATTAAGAGGCAGCCTTTAAAATATGCCCCCCTCCGGGAAACAGAAAAGGAAATATTAAATATATAAGTATACATTCAAGAGCAAGATATAAAGGGGGGGCATAGTTAGGGTAGATTAGCAAGGGTAGGGGAATAAGAAATGATACTAAATTATATTTGGGTTTGCGGAAACACCATCCCAAAGAAACATAAACTGAAATCTGAAAGAGACACCTATAACAACAGAAAAAGAAAGGGAGAGAGAATGAGAGGAAGACAGGGGAAAGAAGGAAGAGGTAAGGAGAGGAGGATGGAAGGGAGAGGAAGAGAAGGAGAGAGGGTAGGAAGGGGAAGAGGAAGAGTAGGAGTAGGGGAGAGGTAAGGGAGGAAGGAAGGGAAAGGAGAAGAGGAAGGAAGGAAGTAGAGAAGGGAGGGAGGGCGAAAAGAAAGGGAAAATAAGGTGGTGTTGCACAGGCGGAAGGGATGGTAAATAAAGCAACCCAAACTGTATATTATAACCTATTAAATGAAATAACAAATGTATAAGAATGACAAAT